AGTGCGTCCCAAAGTGGTCGTGCGCCGGCCCCTCTCCCGGGGTCGCTGGGCGTCCGTGACGCGTCTTTGTCCCGTCTGCATGTACATAAAGAAGGCCTCGTCTGCTTTAACTAGGCAGGCAGGAGGAGGGCCCGTCCCTGGGGACGTTACCTCTGAGACCTCGGGCCACCGCCCGGGCCCAGTCCTCCCTCCCAATTCCCCAAGATCCCCAACGATCTTTTAACATAAGGAGATCAACAAACAAAATCAAAGATAAATGACCTGGGGGAAAAATGCTCGTAACCTAAGCGCCAGGGCTTGGAGTTCCTGCTGTGGGCAGCATCCTCACTGGGTGGCACCCGGCCCAACGGCGCAGGGAATCGAAAGCACACACGTGGGTGCCCACATGTAAACACGGGCAGGGCTAAGGACCCTGGAGGGGGAGCTGTGCTCACTAAAGCCGCCCCAGCAAGCCGGCCAGGCAGGTCCCAGTGACGGTGCCGCGCGGCAGACACGGGGTGGTGGGGCTGCTGGAGGCCGGCCACGGGACAGGAGTAACTACGAGGAAGAAGTGGGGTGTGGCTTTCCTTCTGCTTTTACGTTAAACTGGCATTTCTCTTTCCTTTTAAACTGGAGATACGTGGTCGAAACGAAGATTAATCACAAAACAGCCCCAAACCGGGGCCTGGGTGACATGGAGACCCCTCCCTGCACGTCGGACCCTGCTGACAACCCCCCTGCACCCCCAGAGGGGAAGTGGAGCTTTGCAGGGCCTCCAGGGTCCAGCGCCCCAGAGAGAACCGAAATAGAAACAAAGGGCAGGCAGGGCTGGGGTGGGGTGAGGAGAGGCAGGCTGTGCGCGGGGCTCCCGGCGCCCGGCACGGACAGACGCCCCACACAGCAACAGCCGGACCCGACCTTTGGCCCCCGGAGCGCACGGGGAGCTGGGACCAACCGTCTGTGGGATCCCACTGAGGCTTCTACAAGAGTCGGCTTCGCTAAGCTGGGACACAGGTGCAGAAACCATGCGTCTTTACCTGTATCCTGCGCCTCCAGAACCTCCCCTCAGTCGTTTCCAGGACGGAGTCTTCAGAAATCTTGGCTCTGAAACTAACAGGAAAGGAGACTATTTCAACACGTAAGTCCTCCGTCCACGTACCTCAGCATCACTCCTGGAGAGGCACTAAAAAGAAACTCTTGCAATTTTTCTTTTTTTTTTTTTTAGACCTCCAGACCCCAGGATGGGTGTGGCTTTCATGCCCTGTGCAAACGGGAGGGAGGAGTGAGTGTGCAAACACGCCCATAAAGGAAGTGTAACCTGGCGGGTCCCCAAACACTGACCACAGCCACTTCCCTGCGAAGTGAGCCAATCAAATACTCCCCACGGTCCTGGTTAGCCATTTGCCGAAAGAGAATCAAGCTATTAGCTTCAGATCCGTATCCATGAGAACTCATCCTCACCGAAGTCCAACAGTCAGGGGGGAGCCCTCAAAATGGGACACCCGAGTCTAGGAGGATGACAAACAGACAGGATCGGAATGGCAGCCCCAGGGGGCCCTGTGCAGGGTACGTGGAGGTGTGGAGGACATCGGTGCTGGACCCTTCACGGTTGCGAATGATCCAGCACAGTTTTTAAACCTCAGAATCAAATGCTAGCATTTTTTGGTGGCTGGAATATTTTTGTTTCTTTTGCTTTAAGAGCTGGTACAATTCTTGCCATTTTCTGGAAGACAGCTGAGAAGTAGGAGGTGCTCACTGGAAGCAGGGCCGACGCCCCATCTCTCCCACACGGCGCCCCCGGAGTGGGACCAGTCACGCCCACACCACAAACAGGGCTGGCACCCCACTCCCACTCCCACGACTCCCAGGGTCACCTCGCGGCCTGAGACACTTCCCGTGAATCCCGAGCAAATGAGACCCCCGGGTACTGGTGGAAGTGGTTAGGATTCCTTACATCTCACTGTCGGGCTCGCAAAGGCCGATTCTGGGTCCTTCTAATTCTGGGTCAGCTACTGCTGACGGCCAACTTCTAAGCAGAAGTATCTTCACGCGTGAGCATGTAGGGAAGCGTCCCCCGACAAGGCCGTACCCTCCCACACCCGGAGCCCACGTCTGCTGTTTGAACACGGGGGGACGTGTGGCCACAGCCGACAGACATACGACAGGCCAACGGGACCGACCGCAGGCTTCTCCTGCACACATGGTGGCCACATGCACGCTCCCCAAAACACTCATGGGAAACGTAAGCGATTCACGCAGAAGCAAGAGGTTTACGTAAACAACCTGAATGCCAAGAAACTTTAAACTGAAAGACTTCTCTCTTCTGGAAATTCAATAAGCCTTTGTCACTTCAATAAATACAAGCAGGTGTGTCTCGTGTTCACCTGAATTTCATGGCGCTGAGCACCAAGGGCAGGTTGTCGGCATGTGACCCCCCCCCCGCCCCGCCCCACACACGCACCTGGCGAGGCCACCTCACCTCTGCCCTCCGCCAAACAGCTCCTAGCCCCACGGTTCCTGAGTAAAAACCAGGCACTTCCGGCCCAGCCAACGGCCAGGTCCCGGGCCCCAGCTGTCTACACTCTTCTACCATGCCAGTGCTTTCTGATTTCTTTTTTTTTAAAGATTTTATTCATTTATTTGAGAGAGAATGAGATAGAGCATGAGAGGGGGGAGGGTCAGAGGGAGAAGCAGACTCCCTGCCGAGCAGGGAGCCCGATGCGGGACTCGATCCTGGGACTCCAGGATCATGACCTGAGCCGAAGGCAGTCGCTTAACCAGCTGAGCCACCCAGGCGCCCGTCTTTCTGCTTTCTTGACAGAAAAACCCACGCACTGTAATTAGGTATCGCTGTCCCGAAGAGTGCAGGAGACAGTCCCCACACAGCCACTCACCGTACCGCCTGAACCCTGCGTCTCCCTTCACCGGGCGTCACTTCCCAGAATGCACATAAGAATTCAACACTCCTTTTGCGAAATGAAAGAGAAATTAATCAGGAGAGAGAGAAGTGTTTCTCTTTCCCTCCCGAGAGACGTGGCCTTGTCCACCCCTCCCCCACGCCCACGCCCGGTGGTAGCTGCCCAGTGACCACTCTGACCACAGCACAGAGCGAAGGCGAGGCAGGTCCTGCACGCATCTTGTCCGTGTTCTGCACATGTGACTTCACCTCCCAAAAGCCCCTGACTCTGACTTTGGTTTGCACACCAAAGCAAGAGGCTACTCCCCACCTCTGGGAAGGGCAGCCATGAGGCCGGCTGCCCATAAAGTGCAGTGATGAGGGGGCCGGGGGCCATGTCCACATGCATTGGGCGACCTCTCTGGGGGCCACGGGGCAGCGCGGGCCCAGGAGTCCTGACCCAGCAGTTCTCCACCGGTAATTCAAGTGGATACACCCCACATATGTGAGGTGCCCGAGTAGGAGGCTATTCGGTAGAAGAACTCTGGAAACAGTACACACACGTGTGCTGTACATACATACGCTGATTTGTACACAAATCGCGTCACATCTGGGGGATGGAATACTACGCGGCTGGTAAAAAGGATGACGTGGCGAAGGGCTCCCTCGTGCACTCTTGGTGGGACAGTGAATGGGTATGGCCACATGGAAAACAGGATGCAGGTTCCTCAAAAAATGAGCAGAACTACCCTATGATCCAGTAATTCCACTGCTAGGTATCTACCCACTGAAAACAAAAACGCTAATTGGAAAAGACACATGCATGCGTATGCTCGCTGCAGTATTATTGACAACAGCAAAGATACAGAAGCAGCCCAAGCGTCCTTCCACGGATGAGTGGATAAAGAAGGTGCGGTGTGCACACGCACACGCACACACACGCACACACACGCACTATGGAATGTTACTGAGCCATCAAAAAGAATGACATCTTGCCATTTGCAACAACGTGGAAGGACCTGCCCCTCCAGCCCCCAGCCACTCCCTCAGCCCCCAGACAGAAGGTCACTCACATATTCAGCATTATGCTGAATCAGAGAAAGATAAACACCATATTTCACTTACACTGGTATCTAAAAAACAAAACAAACAGAAAACCAGACTCTTAAATACAGAGAACAAACTGGGGTCACCGGCGGGGGGGGATGGGTGAGGTGGGTGGAGGGGGTTAAGAGGTATAAACTCCCAGTCAGAACAGAAGTTAGTCTCAGGGATAGAAAGTATGGCACAGGGAACATCATCAGTAACCGTAACCACGCCGTACGGTGACAGGTGGGGACACTGATACAGACCGTCGAATCGCTACATTGTACGCGATTCACATATGGTTTCCTGCTTAAAGCTTACTAAAGGGATTCCATCAAAACACAAGTTTCCAAGAAGAGCAGACAGACTTTCGGTGATTTCCGACTGACTGGACATTTTGCGGGACCTCCTTCTAAGGGACTCTGACACAGAGCAAAGAGGTCCAGTGGCCGTGAGTGCAGGTGAATCCCAGCTCAGCACCCCAGGGCGGGAGGAGCAGGCTTGCAGCCCCACAAGAGACCAGGAAGTGCGAGGAAGAAGCGGGGGCGTCCCCTGTGGGCTGGCCGGAGGGGAGGGCAGGACCTCCAGGTGAACTGTGCCTCCTTCCCTGGGGCCTCCTGTATGGCGGCCTCCCGTGGGCATCCAGCGCTCCCCAAGCGCACTTAGATGGCAGTTCAATATTCCACAATCCAATAGGATAACGTTGGCCATTCAGCTCTTTGCCAGTTTCTCACTTAAAATTCATTTCTTTAAAGTAGGCTCCACACTCAACACAGAGCTTGAACTCACGACCCTGACATCAAGAGTCACACGCTCTACCATCTGAGCCAGCCGGGTGCCCCTAAAAATTTATTTTCAAAGACTGATTTCAACCACCAGCAAAACCCGACCCAGAAGCTCCTGTATCCAGAGCCCATCTGCCGAAGTGCAGATGGCACACGGGGGTCACGCTGAAGCGGTCCTAAGGTTCTGTCCCTTTGTCTGGGGGTGGGGGCGGGCACACACGCTCAGAGCATGCACTCACCGCCCTCACAGGCCTGCTGCCCTCTACGGGGACGGTCGCACACAGTCCCCAGGACGTACTTCACTCCAGTCCCCGCTCAGGTCTTCCGTTCCCTGCGCTCTGTGTGCAAAGGCACACGTTCTCTGCAGTGAAACAGTCGATGTCCACCACACTGTTCACACTTCTTCCAAGCCAATGAGATGCCTAATTCAGGCGGTCACTATTCTCCCCTAACAGGGGGCACGGTAGAGCGTGCTACTCCAGTGAAGGGTTCCGGGCCCTCGGATGCCACTTCCCAGCCGTGGGGACGGGAACAGGTCACTGCCCCTCCAGCCCCCAGCCACTCCCTCAGCCCCTAGACAGGAGGTCACTCCCATTACCCATGTCCAACTCCCTGGGGTGCGCACACGTCGGACTACAGCGCTGGACCTCCGAAGGAACCCTCGGCTCGCACCGACAGACTCAGCAACTACAGGCCACAGCCCTGCCACACCATCTGCGGGGGTACAGCTGTGTGGCCCCACTGCCTCCAGTTCCTGATGAGACGGGTTTTAGGCAGCCCTGTCAGACTCACAAGGCAGTTACGAATCTCAAGCCTCCGGCAGAGCTGGGACTCCCTCCCTCCTACGTCCTGCGATCCCCCACAGGCCCGGCCAGCAGGTCCCGGGGCTCCGGAACTGTCCATCGCCCTGGGCTGGAGCGGGTCACAGCTCAGCGGGCAGGGTTGGAAACCGCTCTCTGTGGAAGCGTCTGGCTCCACTTTGAATGGATGCTTCTCCTCCAGGAGCTCAGGGCAGAGACCAGGGGCACCCCAACCCCACAGCAGGGAGCTCCTTCTCTCTGCCATGTGCCGGGGTGTGAAGGTGTCACAGACTTGTCCAGAACCGTGCCTAATCCGGGGCTGGCTCAGGACTGCGCTCTGGGCCACCTGGGGCAGCATCCTGCCCACAAAGTCTCCGCAGCGGGAGTTGCACCCGAGGACGCGACTCCTGCCCCCTGCATGGACCTAGCCCAGCTGCAGAGCGACCAGGACATCTCTCCTCTTAGCCACCGCGGGAGGGACGGGCCTTGGAGCCCTGACAAGCCCAGGTCCAGGCGGAGATTTCTTTTTTAAGTCTAAAAAACCCACAAAATGCCACTCTCTTTGCCTTCATCTTTAGTGTCTCCTTAAAAATACACAGCAGGGTTACAGAGCCAGGCCAGCTCGACCGCGGGCTGCCATCCAGCTCAAGCCTGCAAAGGCTGAGCCAGGACGAGCCCCTCTTCTTGCGCCTGGCCTCCCTCCAGGACGTGGCCTTTGCTCCCTGCTTGCAAAACCATTAGAGAAGGCGCATGCAGCAGGCGAAAGCACCGTGAGGGCCCCCGGGGCTGACCCCCAGGCGGGACACAAGGAACATCACCACGCCTAGTGGGGGCCACCACGCCGACCTCCGTGCACTATCTGGTGCACACAGCGTTTGCTCTGATTCACCAGCTTCTGCACCCCTTCAAGGGGACCCCCAGAAACGCCCACCTAGGCCCTGGAAGCAGCTGACTGAGCGCCTGGCAGCAAAGCCTGTCACGATGAGACCTTGCACCCCCTGATCCATGTTCAAACCCCACCACCCCATGCGCCATCAACCGTGGACCACGTGGCCGCCGTGGGCAGGGGGATGGCCTCCCAAGAGCGCTGGGAAGGCGACAAAGCGAGGGCCGCTCCCCCAGCGGTGAGGAGAAGGTGCCAGGGGAGGCCTGGAACGGTCCCAGCCTCCCCCTAACCTGGGGAGCACCAGCGTCTCCACGGCTGCCAAGATGCCCACCGTCCAGCCCCTGCACATGGTCTATGCCCAGAATCTCAATCGTTTCTACTTTCCAAACTACCCACGGAGGCATACCCCAATGTCAGCACCGCCGCAGCGTGACCTTTGAGGGGAACACGAGGAGCCCCATACTGGACCTGATTCACCCTTCCAATTGACCCTCCCTTGTGGTTCTCATCTTCCAGATGCTTCCAGGCCAGCTGCCGTGTGAGTGCCGAGGGCCACATAAAACGATGCGGGGTCGGCGTCCAGCAAACCCACCCTCACGGCAGTGGAGACAACTGGACTGGAAACATCAAATGCCCTCGACCCTCCAGACGGTGAGAAGGTGCCTGGGAGTGACCTCTGCTGAAGGCCCCAGGTCAAGGGAACCCCAGGCCCCAGATTCCAGGAGTCCACTCTGCACCCTCCACGCCGGAGACGGGTCTACCCTCCTACCGCAGGCCAGGCTTGCTGGCCCCGGTCCTGCCAACCCGTCACCCGCCCTGGAGCCTGGCGCATCCGTCCTTCCCGCGGTGTGGACTCGCACACCAGGCGGGGCGTTCCCTTTCTGAGCCCGGCGCCACCTCCCGGGTGCTTCAGAAGGCGCGAGACACGGAAACGTGGCAGCGGTTCTGTCCCCGTCCCACGTCATCTTCCAGGTGGGAAGACGCGGGCTGAGAGGTTGGCCGGCCCTCATGGTCCCCAGCGGGCCCGAGGAGGCGCCTTCCCTCCCGGGGACCAGTGCCGGGGAGCACGTTACGAGACACGCAGCACAGAGGCAGAGGGGTCTCCTCACAATTCACAGGAACCAAAGTCAACTGAAAAATCTAGAAGAGCCTCTAGAACATTCTTGCACCAGGATAAACTAGGCCGCCCCTCTGCCCCCACTAGGGCCTTGGCACTGCTCGTGGCGGCCTCAGCAGGGTCACGGTCGTGCCAAGCAAGCATCCTGCCAGAGAAAGGCCTCCGGGTGCTGCCTACAGCCCCCTCGCATAAGCTGGGCCCCCTCATCCAGTGATGGGGACATGGGGACAGACCAGACGGGACCCCAAACGTGGGTCCAGAGCGTCACCAGCCAGAGGACAGGACTGCTGCCTCCCTGCCTTTCTGCCGGCAACGCCTGAGGAAATGGAACTGTATTCTGCCAAGGACCCGGGAAGTAGGTTGTGTGAGCATCAGTGGCCCTGTCTACTGGAGATGACGGGACCCGAGGTCTCATTTCCTGCAGAACTGGTCCCAGAGGTTGGCCAGTTGGCCGTGCTGCCTGCCAGGCAGAGCTCAGGGCCGCCCCACATGCCGGCCACTCCCGGGCCCTGGGCCGCCTCCGTGCAAGCGGGGTGGCTATGTCCCGCCACAGAAACAGGCTGAGCGAGGCAGCCGCCCTGGGGACACGTGGTGGCCCCGAGCAGTGCCCTTCAGGTCTCGGCAGGTCCCCGACGGCCACCGCCCTGGGCTGAGCTCTGCTGGGGAGCCTCTGCCCAGTCCTGGGTCCTCACCCCGGGGACGTGCGGGGCCGGGCTGGCCGGGGCAGCGCCCCTTGGGGTGGGCTGCGTCCCGGTGCAGTCGGGAGCGCCCGGGGGGCTGGTTTCCATTCGGGAACGGCCCCCCTCTCACTGCAAAGCACACCTGCAGCCAGCCTGACTCAGGCACTGCTGCTAGACACAGCGAGGGACATGGGCCCGGCCTGCACCTGCCCACCGAAGGCCACGCGCAGGCAGGGCCGTCCAGGGGGCCACGGAGAGCAGAGAGAGGGACAGTCCTGGGCCCGGCTCCCCACGATGCGCACACGTGAGCGGGCACCTGTGAGAACCCCGAGTCTGGCCCGTTCACTTCGGACAGGGAGCAGCGGAGACACAGACAGCCCCCCGCCCTGCCCAGCACGGTCCCTGCGCTGGGCCACCACCTGCGCAGGGACCCCGACGGCGTGCGTGCCAGCCCTACCTCCAGGCGCGGGGCGGGGGGACCCCTGGAGAGGAAGTGCCACCCAGAGGAGCGGAAAACCAGCTCCGGCTGGCCGGCCGTGGGGTTACTGGGAAAAGCAGACCGCTCCTCCAGGCTTCAACCTTGTCAGTGGCTGATGCAGCTTCCCTAGGGGCTGGCGCAGCCCCGCCCCACCCACCTCCGGGTCCCTCAAGGCCTCCGCAGGCCCTCCAGGCACCGGAAGCTCTGGGCCCGGAAGCTGATGTGCTGGCTGGGGGAGGGGCGGGGAGAGGCCTGCAGAGCCCACGGCCGTGGCCACACCCGCCACATCCGCCCCATCTGCCCACCAGGCACAGACCACCTGCCGCTGGCCTGGAGGCAGCCCCCATCCTCACCTTCCCCAGCTCCCCGCACCCCCAGGGCTGCCCCCACCGGCAGCCACCCTCTGGAGACGCAGCTGGGGGGGCCGGCGTCCCCATCCTCCCAGGACAGCCTTCTGGGGGAGGGGAGGAGGAAGAAGAGCTGCTCAGGTCTCCACGTGCCACCATGGACGTGTGGGCCTCTTACGGAGGCTCTTCCAACAACTCGATGGGCCAGAAACCATCCTCCTCCTCCTTGTCATCCCTCCTTCACACACAAGAAAACCAAGGTCTGGACGCTTCCGGAAGTCACACCAGCGGCCAGCAGTGCATTTAGAGCCCGAAACCTGGCATCTGCCCCTCCCCCCCAACACCACCTCATGAGTCCTCAGCGCCGGAGAGCCAACGCTCCCTACATGGGAGAGCCTGCCCCGAGGCCTCATGGAGCCAGCACACGGCTGGCCTCCCTGGGCCCACTTCAACCCGGTTCCTCACCAACACGTCACATGGGCTCCTAGTTAGGGGTGCAGCGGGCACCTCCCCAAGGACGGGCTGAACCTGGGTGGCGGCACCAGGGCCTGCTCTGGAGTCTGGCAGGCGTCGGCCTTTCCAAATAAACCCACTTGGCTAGTTAGGTCAGCCCAGGCTCTGCAGTCTTCGTTTTTTCTTCCCAGCTTAAAAGCCTAACAAGCAGATGATATAACTGACCCACACCGAAGACCCCACGGCGAATGAAGAGCTACCAGTTCCGTGCCCAGAACGTGGTCCCCAGGTGTGTGTTCACTGACGAGCAGTCTCGGGCAGGGACGAACACTCGAATGACAACTCTAACTACAGACCCTGCCTTTAAGCCCCCAGCTCCTTCTGACCGACCGGTGGTCGGCTGGGGCCCCGCAGGAGGTGGGCACGCCTGGCTGCCTGGGGCAGGCTCCCAGCCTCGGACGGCAATCCCACCCAAAGCGTCCCAGGTGACGGAGACTCTAGAAACATTTCAGCCACAGGGAGGACAGCCCTCACAAAATTTCAGAACCAGATGGATTTTTTCCAACATACAGACAAGGAACTTGAAACACCTGCCCGAGCTTGCCCGACCCTCCAGGTTCCAGGGACCACCTCTCTTCTATCCCGCAAAGCCCAGGGAGAGCTGCGCTGGGCAGCCCCTCACACTCACACCTGCACTGACCCCTCCATCTTCAGCAGGAAGTGATTTTCTGCCTCTGGGGGGGTGCCTGCCGCCAAGCCCCCACCCTGCTTGAGCTGCACCTGGCCGCGAGCACCAGCGGGGATGGGGCCAGGCCTGGCTCTCCAGAGGAGTCTGACGGACACGCCGCTCGCTTGCTTCCTCGGCCTCGGCAATCCCACCCGTTCAAAAGGATGCCAGCTCAGGAATGTGCATCTCCACGTTGCTTCAACAGTGAGGATTTCTGGTCTAAATGTGCACTGGTCAGGACCTAGCTAGCTAAATAATCTCCCAGCCCGCTAGGCAGGCAACGCAAACCATCGTGCCCATGCTTATTGACAAGCTCGATGGACACACATGTGATTAAGTGCAACGAGGAGAGGATAAAACAGCACTTAAACGTACGCTTACTCACGGAAAGGGCCGTCGGGGACGCTGACGCCCAGCAGGGCCGGGGCAGGCCCGCCCCAAGCACCCGGCGCTCGCCCACGCAGACTCCCAATTGCTGGCAGGGCCGCACTTCCTGCTTTCCGGGTGAGCTCACGGGGGCCAGGTGCACCTGATCGCCGAGCGCCGAGCACCAGGCCGTGGCCCTTCACAGGTGGAGAAGGCATGCGAGCTGCACGGGGTGCTGAGCTCTGGGCCCGGGGCATGAGGGACGTGTCCAAATACCTTCTTCGGATTTTGCCTCACCTGACTGCGTTTGCATTAGAAAATGCACTTTTTGGTGTTTTTCTTACAAGACCTCCTGCTGTTTCCGAACATCAGCAGCTTCCCCAGATTCTCGCAGTCGCTCAGGCCACCCCGCGGTGAAGGGGAAGGCGGCCCGGTCCCCAGGAGCATATTCCCGCTGTCCGTGGGGACACTTCTGCCCTCCCGGCTCTCCGCGGACGGGGCCGCGCGTGGCTTCATCTTCCTAGTGTCTATGCCTCGTTCCCCTCCACACGTGTGCCCTGCCCCGCCGAGCCTGGCCGTCCATTACCCGCCAAGAGGGACACACATGAGGCAGGGCGTCAGGGCCCCGATGCCGGGGCTCGAGCTGTGTGCCCGGGGCTGGCTACTTACTCCCCCCCTCAGGTGCTGAGCTGTGAGACGCAGCTGAGCTCAAAGCGTGCGTGGGCTTTTTACCCCACGACCTGGCGCTTTGGTAACTATGACTGTTAGTGAGGACATGATGAAAACCCGCCAGGGACGGCTGGGGGCGTCTGCTGAGCCTTTCCAGAGTGGGCCCACCGTGGCAGAGCCATAAAAAACCACCCTGCCAGGTGTCACGCAGTGTTCTTTCTACATCTTTTCCCCCAGGACGGACAGCAGAGGGGAAGAGCTTGCCCTCGGCGCTGAGGACAGCCACCTCGGCCACGCACCTCTGCACCGGCCTCCACCTGCGACCCTCTGGTCCTGTCCTAAAGGTGACCCCGGGCAGAGGGGCACCTGCTTCTCGAGGACCCCTGAGAACAGGTGGTGCTGACGTGAAAACCGGCTCATGCGGGGACCCGGCATTCACGTTCTAACGCGGAAAGAGGGGGAAGACCGTGGGGGCCGGAGGGAGGTGGGGGTCGTACAGAGAGCCAAGGCCAGGAGAGGCGTCCCCCGCCGGCGCACCCCGTGCACCTGAGTGCCCACGCCTCGGCCCCGGCCGCCCTGTGTCCCCGTCCCCACTTCCGGAGAGGGAGGCCCGCAGCAGGGACGGCGGGAAAGAGCCCAGCTGCCGTGGATGCGGCCTTCCCGGCACTCACGTTACTGATCGAAGTCAGAAACGCTCACCGGCGGCCGTGACTAGCCAGGCTCTGGCTGTCTCCCAGAGAATAGCAGTCAAACGCCCTCCCCACTCCCGGGAGCGGCTGCCGCTGGACCTCTGAATTTTTAAGTGGTTGGAGTGTGAGCCTCTGGAGAGATGAAGTGCCATCAGCGTCCACACAGCGAGAGGGCGGGCGCACAGCCGTCCCCCGACAGCCAGGCCAGGGCCACCGGGCCTGGCCATGCACAGTGTGAGCCCCGCCTCGGTTTCTCGGTCCCCCAACTGTGTCACGGAGCCCACGCCGGCCACCCCGTGCGAGGCAGACCCGACCCCGCTCCACACACGTGCAGTCGGGGGAGGAAGCGCTGAGTGGCCACGGGAGGACCCAGGTGCCCAGTGCACACCGGCCTTTGCAAGCAAGGCAGAAGCAGGGGTCAGGCCAGCAGGGCGGGGGTCAGCGCCCACCCGGCGGCACCTCTGTGGGGCTCTGGGCGGCTATTCTGCACACCTGGAGAGCCAGGAGTGGACCCTAAGGGGGACCTGGGGGCCCGGATCTGAGGGGAGACTGTTACCAGGGGGCTCAGTGAGAGCTGAGAACGCAGAGACACACGCAGTGGGTGCCCTTCCAGCGCTCTTCCCTAACCATGGCCACGGGCGCAACCAAATGGAAAAGCCAGGCGGGCTGAGCAGCGCACCCTGTGACAGGCGAGCCCGCAAATGCAGAGCGAAATGCATGCCCCAGACCACAGCAGGTGCGGCCTCGAGACAGCGGCCGGCAGGGCTTCCTCTCTGCAGCCCCTGCCCCCAGTCGGGGTTCAGATCCCCGAGTCCAGGCAGACCTAGAGCCCGGCCAAACGACTTGGAAGCAGGGTCTCAAACGGGGATCTGCACACCCACGTTCACGGCGGCCGTTTTCACAGCAGGCAGAGACTCGCTACTTCTCCCTGACTTGCCACCCCAAGCCCAAATGCCTTTGTTTTACCCATTCTTCACAAGCGGATTGTTTCTTTGTCTAGCACGCAGGACAACTGCCTGCTCCGGTCACTTCTTAGAGTCTTATATGGTTGGAGCTCCCATGTGTACAAAATTAAATTCGCTTTTCTCTTGTTAACATATCTTATGTTAGTTTAATTACCAGACAGGCCACAGGGCCAGAAGGAAAGACGGGAGATTCTCTCTCCCCACCTACAATCCCAAGTGTCCACTCAGGGAGGAATGGATAAAGAAAATGCCATATAGCCACACAACTGAGCACCATCTCCCTCCTTGTAGGGAAGGGCCTCCGAGGTGCCTGCCAAGCACTCCAAGGTGACCTGGCTGCTTCACCTGAGCCCAGCACCCAGGGGGCACGGGGAGTCGACAAGGCGGTCACTCAGAGCTGCCACTCATGAGAACACACCAGCTCTTGGGGGTTCTCGACCCTCAGCCTTTCCATGGCTTGTGTCAACGAGACACAGGAGTGGTGGGAAGGTCACACGGGTCCCCCGCACACAGAGTAAGGGGCAGGGTCCAGCAGCATCTGCAAGTGTCCCAAGGTCTGCTCCCTTCTAGAACCTTCTGTCCCTATGACCCTGCCCTCCCACCAGGGCGGGCCCCATGAGGGCCCCTCTGCAGGTGGAGAACACACCTGCATTTTGTGGGCACGGAGCGGATACCTGTCTCCAGCCTTTTGAGTTTCAAGACGGGCAGAGCTTGGCTGGAGGACACAATATGTCTGAGAAGTCAGCTCTGGCCGCCCGCTTGGTCAGTCACGGTCAGCCACGTCCACCTGGTTCCTGCCCTGTGGCTGCCCCCAGCACCCTCACCAGCCAGTGACGACGCCGAGTAGAGGGCGGGTCAGGGGTCTCGGTCCCGGTGGGAGCCAGGCTCCAGGAAGCTTCAGGAAGCCAGGACGTCAGGGGGTGCTGGCCACCTTCTGGACTAAGACCCACTCTTCCCACCAAGATTCCCAGCCACACACTCCAGGCTGACGTCCAGAAGAGCCCTGGGGTCGGCTGTAGCACACGTACGTCGCACGTGTATGCTGAGACGCGCGGGAGCTGCTGGAGAACCGCCGAGAGACCAGGTAAGAGCAGGGGACAGCCGAGTCACACAGGACTTCTGCAGGTTACAGGGATGGAGGACACACGCCCGCACCGCGGTTCCCTGCTGGAAGAGCGCGTTTCCCTCCACGTGGAGTCGGGGACAGGCCTCTGACGCGGGCTCCGCCCGGAAGGCACACGCGCGGGGACATCAACAGTGACTGGTGCGAAGTGTGAGGCCTCTCGTTCCCACATGACGTCAGCTCCCCCAAACACACAGCGGGAGCACGATGTCTCCCCCCGGAACGGAGTCCACAGAGGGCGGGGCCGCCTCCCGCAGACGGGCCGTCGGAGAGCGTCGGGGCCACGTGCTGGCCGAGCGCTCAGACATGACTTTCAGGGAGTGACCCAGCAGGCCAGGGCAACGCAAGGAAATAAATCTGCCGGCCTCACGGACCCCAAGCCAACGTGTGGCGGTACAGTCTGCGGCCCCGCCCCCAGAAACACGGACACTGCAAAACAGGCACCCAAAGTCGCGAACCATGGCGAGGGAGGAGGGCACATCTGAGGTCCGACTGGGGCCGCTGGCTGAGCGGAGAGGTCAGCACGAGCCGACCAACGTCTGAGCTAAACTGTCAGGGCGAGGCCACAGGAGCTCGCGACAGGCCACGATCCAACCAGCGGCTACGCGGGAGCAGCGTGGTGCCCAGGGCTGGTGTGGGGTCTCGCACCTGGAACCCGTGGCTGCCCTCACGAGCACAGAGGAGTGGAGGCCGCCTCTGCCCAGACCCACCACTGGGCCCTGCCCACTCCCTGGGCTGGGCCCCTGGGGAAAGCGCTCTCCCACGCCCCGACCGTCCTCCGCGTGTGCACGCCGGGGCCTGTGGCTGCCTGCCCGGCCGTGAAAGCACGGATGCCCCATGCCCAGGGCTTGCCAGGTCCCCAGGGCAGGAGGGGGGTGCCGGCAGGGCAGAGGCCGAGCCATGGCGGCCCTCCCACCCCAAGCAGGGGCTCCCTCTTAGCGTGGCTGAGCCAGGGCAGAGCCCCCCACACATCCCGCTCCCACCCTCTGTGTCCCAAGACACACACCGTCCTTCTCCCGCTGTTTAGTCCTGCGTGTTCTTTGCCAGCCCCTCTAGACCCGCTCCCTGCTCTGCATGCCGACTGTGCCCGTGGCGTGCAGGGAGCTGTGCGAAGCTCTGTCCCAGACCGGTGGCAGGAACGAGCAGCGTCCCGGGGGCACGCACGTCGCCCGCCCAGGGATCCTCACAGTCTGAGCACCACCGGTTTGTATGCTGCTGGATGTCACATCTTCCCTGCTGTGCAGACACGCTCCTTGTCCCTACAGTGGTAGCGAAGGTCCTCTGGGCGCAGACCACATCCTAAGGGACCTGAGCCCGCTTCCCTGTGCTGCTGTACAAAATCACCAGAAGCCCAGCGGCCTCAGACAACATTAATGTGCTATCTCACGGCTCTGGGGTTCACAAGCCTGGCGTGGGGCTCACACCCGAGCATCGGCCGCTTCCTTCGGGAGGCTCCAGTGAGAATCCACTTCTTTGCCTTTCCAGCTTCCAGAAGCCTCCTGCATTCCCCGGGCTCGTGTCCCTCCCTGCGGCGTCAAAGCCAGCGAAGAGGATCGGAACACGCCACCCCCCAGAGGCTGCCCCCCACACAGACTGCTCTGGCATAAGGACTACCTTGAACCGAAGACAACTGAGAAACGGCAGGTCCACGGAGAACTCTCTGCCCTCCCCACGTGCCCAAAAGCAGGACACAGGCTTCCTTCTGTACAAGCGTCCTTGAGAAGGTGCCGAGAGGAGTCTGCATGACAAACCTTGCTAACCATCCTTTACTCACCACAGCTTCCTACTCACACAATGCACTGCCCCTACGAGCCCAAACCACCTTTCCTTCCTCTTATTGCCTCGCAACTTACTGCTCTTGGTTAAAACGACATATAAGCCCCAAGGTTAACGGTTTTTTTGGGTTTTTCTTTTCTGCAGAGCTCCTGTGCATGTGACTATATTAAAATTTGTGTGCCTTTTTTTCTGTTAATCTCTCATTTGTCTGTTTAATTCACAGGCCCCACTGAAAGAACCTAAGAGAGTAGAAGGAAAGTTTTTCCTTCCCTAAACCAGCAGCATAGCATCTTCTCTCCTCTCTGCCCTCCTGACTGTCTCTCATCAGGCACCCTGTGATTACATATAGGGCCTACTTAGAGAATCCAGGATGATCTCCCTATCTCAAGATCCTTAATCACACCTGTGAAGTCCCTTTACCACGTACAGTAACATAACAGTTGACCCTTCGACCACACTGGTTTGAACGACATGGGTCCACTTATATACAGATTTTTTCGATAAGCACAGGACATACTGTAAATGGACTTTCTCTTCCCCATGATTTCCTTAATGACATTTTCTCCTCTCTGGCTGACTTTATTCTAAGAATACCTTATACAGCATATAACACATACAACATACAAAACGTGTGTTAACTGACTGTTGGTACAGGTGAGGATTCTGGTACAGCAGGCTGAGTAGTTAAGCTTTTGGGGGCGACAAAAGTTCTACACGGATTTTCGGAGGTGCAGGGTCAGTGCCCCGCCTCCATACTGTTCGAGGGTCAACTGTATCTGCAGGTTCCAGGGATCAGGACACGGATGTCCACAGGGGCCCTTCATTATTCTGTCTCTTGCAGACCCCCATGGCTAGTTGGTAATGTGGCCCAGTAGAAGCACAACTCCTGCATTCCTTTTCCAGAAAAAAAATGAGTTTTTTAGGTTTAATTCTCCCATTTTCTTGAAGCTGAGAAGTAATTCATAATGTTAATTCTGGGAAGTCCAAACCAAACCTGTCTGCCTTCTGAGAGCTCTGAGCCCACGTGGGTACCCTACAGGATGGGGGCGCCATAGGGGGAGGGGCACTGCCGCACCCCTTCCACGGGGGGGAGAGGGGCATGGGGGAGGTTCCCATGCAGAAGTGCACGCTGGGAAATCAGGAGTGAGGCAACCGCCAGGTAATATTAGTTTTAAGAATGGCTGGGGGTAGAATAAAAATATAAATGATGGTTAACAAGAAGTGCAAAATAACAAGAAAACCAACACATTCCTTGGCCGGCTTTGGCATGATTGGTCATTCAGATGCAAATTCTACCCTGATTTTGGAAGGCTTACAAGCACCCCTGTTGAGAGCCAGGCCTATGAATTCCAGGCTCTCAACAAGCCCTCACAGTTCCCAGCCTCGGGGCTCTCCCCCCACCGGGTCTTTTTATGTAGCCCCGAAACACCAGCAGCCTCTTCATGCAGGCACTGCGGGGTCCCTGCTGTTTTGGGCCCTCTCCCACCCCCCTAGGGGCGGCACTGGCCACTTTCCTGGGCCAGACTGGCCAGGGCGCCTGGAGTACCCCCTCGCTGTGCCAACTACCATTCAGCCGAGACCCTGGACGGCATCCACACCCGCTCCCGTGTGCAGAGCCGTCAGGTCCCAGAGCCTGTCCTACAGACCCCACCCACACCAGCCCTCCCCACCGCCATCCCTGCACAGCCAGGCCTGGGTGTCCCTGCCCCCGGCCACCTCCCTCGGTGCCCAAGGCCCTCACTAGCTTCCTTGCAGAGCCCATGAGACCTGGAGACACATCTGCTGTGACATGTCCACAGGGACCTGAACCAGCCGCCCAGGCGAAGGACCCAGGAGCACGCCCAGGCCAGCTGGACAGACAGACTCGTCTAGTCCTCGAGAAGGGATGCCCACCTGCTTCCTCAGCTCACTCCCACTCAGCTGAGCCATGAGAACCAGGAACACGAGGGCCGTGTGCAGGAATGATGAGAGATGCCAGGATGCACCGCAGGGCCCTGGTCAGCCAGCATTTCACCCTACTGCTTCAGCGGCCTGAACGCGATCGCACACGGCGACCACTCAGAACAAGATCAAACCCGATGTGTATGTGTCCTTGTGCCCGGTGGTTTGTACACACGCTTGATTCTTCTAGCAGGAAAAAACCACATTGTACCATCTGTACAAAAGGAACGAAGAACAAACACGACCTCTGGCAATAAGCCAAACCCCCATCGCCCGCCCAGCCGGCCTCACCTCTCCCGGGGCCGCACTCGCCGGCCGGTCCCTGACCCACGCCGCCCACGGGAGGACGGTGCTCAGGACCTGGTCTGGCCCGGCCGCCCCATGCTCATGGACGTCTGTGCTGGGCGGCATCCGTCCGGACATCGCGGGGTCTCCAGGGCAGTCTGGGCGGGGCCGCGGGGACCAGCCACGGGCACCACAAGGCTCCCTTCAGCAGCGGGACAAGGCCCCGCGGTGAGCCTCCCTCGGGCCGTGGAACACGCTTGCCCCATTCTCGTCCCTATCAATGGCAGGCTGTGCACGATGTGGGCCCCACTGTTCTCCTGTGTGGGCTCATTGAGGGCGCAGGGCAGGGCCAGGCCGAGGAAGGAGGAAGAAGCTGTGCCCCCCAGGAGAAAGGCGCCTTGGAGCTACAGGAGGACAGACAAGGGATCCCGTCAAGGGCCAGGGACTCTGAGGATCGCGGGGGCCAGGCCACGGCGGTCCCTGGGGGCTGGGGGCTCCAGGGAGAGGATGGGGGAGCTGCCCCCCTGCAGGCTCTCCTGAAGGGCCCTGGGCGAGCCCCACCGAACGTCAGCGTCCAGCCTTGGAAGAAGGGAGAGTCGGGGCGCCTGGGCTCGCGGTGAGGGCGGATGAGGCAGGGATGTGGGCAAAGACTTCCACACCGCCGGTCACAGCACAGCTGGGCAGCGCGAAACTCAGCCGGGAAACCAAGCCACGTGCTGGCCGAGGAGCTGCGCAGCGGTGCTGGGCTGCCTCCGGCCACTGCCCGCCAGCACGGCCCCCCGTGCCCGCGCCTCAGCCGGGGACCGGCGCTCGCGGTCTGTGAGGGGTGCGTGACCCTGCAGGCCTGGAAAGGCACGCAGCGAGGGGACGGCAGCACCCACACCTGCCGGGAACACACCCGAGCGGACGGGAGGCCCCGCTGCGGCCACGGGCAACGGCGCCCTCCACGAGGGGAGGCCGCGGGCCTGGGACACAGCAGTGCTTGGTGACAGTGGCCACTGACCTCTGTGTGCCACCTACAACAGCCCCCACTCCTGGTCATGGCAGCCACGAGGACGGAGGGCTGGCTGACGTGTCCGGCGCTGTGGGAAGCGGAAACGTGACCTGGGGGGGCGCGGTGAGTGCCGTGGTACGGCGAGCGTGCGAGCCTCGGACAGACGCTTGCTTGGTCCCAGACCCCAGGCCTAACCCCACACCCGGCGCACGAGGCTCACGCGCACCCCAGCTGCGAGGCCGGCAGGACAGTCCCTAGGAATCCACGAGGCCGCGGGAGCAGGATGGTGGCCAGCAGGCAGGAGGGAGCAGACCCTGCCCAGAACGGCCCCCCGATCCCAAGCACCGGCTCCAGGGACCCCTCCCTCCTCCTCCGCCCTCCCCGAGCCTTTGGTGACAACTCTGAGCACCAGGCTCAGAAGGAGCAGCAAGCGAGGCAGGGCGGCCACGGCGGGGGCTCGCGTGGGCTCCAGGGCAGTGCTGCGCCCCGGCTGGGGGCGACTTCCAGGGCCTCCCGGGCCTCCTGCTGGCGCTCGTCAGAAGTCCGAGAAGGCGCACTCCGGGGGGCTGGGGAGCCGGGGGACCAGCCCGTCAGGACCTCGGTCACGGGCGGACAGCAGCAGGTGACGCCGGCGTCACGAAAGCGCTGTATTCGGTCATTCGTGAGAGGCACCGAGTGTTTTTGGCTTCAAAGCTACTTTGAGGCAGTGAACGCAAGTATTCTTTATACTCTTTGACTGGACTTGTATACAATTTACGTTTCTGGAGACTTTTCTCAAGTCTGCAATATGCTCTGCGATTTTAGGATATTTTCACAGATTTGCAGTAATGAGCTGTCTGTTCAAAGAACAGGATCTTTGGAATTCGATCCCACTTCCGATGCAAAGGTGCCCTTTACTCAGCGCCACCTCCGCAGACACCGCTCGGGATCCCCACAGACCGGCCGAACCCCAGGCCCCAGAGTCCACCCAGGGGTCCGTAAAAAGCAAAGGGGTCTACTTCTAAAAGCCTACTGACAGGTACTGTACTTTCCCTTACAAAAAAGGTAGCAAAGACCCCACTGCACAAATTTACGTGAAATGAAAGCCAACGGACTCACGTTCAAGTTCACCACATCCTGGTACCAATTTTAAGCATTCATTCAACCTACTCAGCCCAAGGACGCACCCAATATGATTCTGCCACTGGGACCTGGCCTTGGTCATGGCTTCAGAGCTCACTACCAGCGAAGGTGCCGAGAATCACCAAGGGACACAGAGCGGCCTGTCTCATTTTCACCAAGGACGGTCCAGACATCACCCTCTCTCTGAACCTGACCCACAACGTGTGGCCCAACCTAGGACACGGGCTTCTCTCCTGGAGACCCCTCACCTGCACAAAGCCTGGGCAGCCATGCCATTCTCAGCCATGCTGACCCCCTTGTCCCTGCCCGGGCACCTTCCACACATCAGGCACGCAAGCCCCGCTCCACACCCTTCAAACACAGCCCAGGCCCTTCCAGGTGAAATGCCCCTGATCTCTCAGAAAAAATGAGGCCTCAATGGACAGGCCATTGTGGGGGTACTCCCTGGGGGTCTGCATGGTGGGCGGGCCATTGTGGGGGTGCTCCCAGGGGTCTACATGGGGGTGCTCTCAGGGGTCTGCGTGGGGGGTGGGCCATCGTGGGGGTGCTCTCGGGTCTGCGTGGGGGCGGGCCATCGTGGGGGTGCTCCCCGGGGGTCTGCATGATGGGTGGGCCATCATCCAGTTGGGGGAACATGGGATCCCCTGGCAGAGAACCCGCAGGCCTGGAGGTGAGAGAGCCCAGCACACAAGGGGCACAGCTGCAAGAGGGACATGGCCAGGGTGCTGATATCAAGGGGGACCCTGGCCTGGGCACAGCGTGGGGCCAAGCTGCATCAGGGTCCCAGCCTGAGAAGGGGGCAAGGGAGCCCAGAGGCAGGAGGAGAGGGCACCGATCCCCTCAGGCCTGGGGGCTTCCCCTCAGGGTTGGTGGGTCCCCAGCGCCCGGCCCCCAAGGCCCCCCCAGTGTTCTGAGCTGCTTCCTGTCCTCAGTGATGGCTGAGCCCATTCTCATCTCAGACTTCACACCAGTTCTGCTCCAAGCCCTCCCTCCTGGGCCTGCACCAAAACCTCCTCAACTCGGGCTCCACCTGCCTGGCAGAGGCTGGGGACCATCACCCCGGAGCATGCGGAAGAGTGGATGTGGGAGGAATGCTTCCCGGGAACCCCGTCTGTGTTGAAATGTATTCTTTCCCACAGACACACTGCTCTGTTTATCTGCACATGCTCAAACCTTTCAGTTTATGGATGTGCAGACTGCCAGAGGCCAGGCTGGGGCACCGGGAGCAGTCAGGTGTCCTTCCTTCCCTCTAGCCACAGCCTCTGGCCCTTGGCTTCCTCCCCCTCCTCCTCAGGAGGCCTGCTCCCCATCCTCCCCTCCTCCCCAGGAGACCTGCACTGTGTCCTCCCCATCCTCCCCAGGGGGCCTGCTCTCCGTCCTCCCCTCCTCTACAGGAGACCTGCACTGTGTCCTCCCCTCCTCCCCAGGGGGCCTGCTCTCCATCCTCCCCTCTTCCCCAGGAGGCCTGCACTGTGTCCTCCCCTCCTCCCCAGGGGGCCTGCTCTCCATCCTCCCCTCCTCCCCAAGAGACCTGCACTGTGTCCTTTCCTCCTCCCCAGGGGGCCTGCTCTCTGTCCTCCCCTCCTCCCCAGGAGATCTGCACTGTGTCCTCCCCATCCTCCCCAGGGGGCCTGCTCTTCATCCTCCCCTACTCTCCAGGGGGCCTACTCCACCTCCTCCCCAGGGGGCCTGCTCCGTG